TGTATGAGTTAGCCGGTTGGCCCAATCCAAAACATACGCGCTCTGGCTAAACTGTACTACGACGCTGGTTATCAAGTGGATCGCTCAAGCCAGCCGTGTCCTATCTAGTTAGGTGCGCGTTCACATGAAAGGGGTGGTATTTGGAGCATTCGACCAATCTCAAACATGGACAAGAGTACTGACAGCGCAGCGTCATACTTCCTGAATGAAAAGTGAACTTTAATATTAGTCAAATATGAAGAAGTTAAACTTTAAACATCCATGACTTAAACACTTTATCCAGGATAAAAGCCACATAGCTGCACCTGCAAGGTGAATACAGCTGGTAAAAGAAAAAGCGTTTGAATGCGTACATTAACAGGTTTATGATATCACTGCCCCGTCCAAGACACGAGTGGATCTGACTTTAATTACATTTGACTCGAGTGTTTCGTCAACTTAATGTGTTGCTTAAAATGATACTTCTGCATACAGTATGTGACACTGTGAGTGTTGCACGGCCAGATACGGCTCAAGAAGCTGACTCAGATAAGGAAATATATGATACATTATGATGTGATATGATATGAATGATAATGGGACACATCGCCGTCTGCACTCACAGTACCGCGGACTGTAGGCTACTTAATGTTACTCGGATCCGGTTACTTATGTCGTGGCAGATATTTAAGTAAGCTTTCTTAACGCTAATGTTATAATAGTCAGATTGCTCTGAAGATGGGAGGCGATATTCTATTAATTTTCACGTTCACACAGTCAGTTGATTTTTGCCGGCCGTCTTTCCTGCAACGGCAGTTTTTCTGTATTTCCTCTATCCTGTAATATGAATTGATCGCTTTAAACTCCGCACACGGAGCTCTGATTGGTCAGCAGGCGGTGCTTTCACTGAGTTGATCTCTTAGCCTGCAACCTAACCTCCTCCTGAGGAGGTTAGCCGCTCAGCATAAGTTACCATGGAGATCTAGCTCGCTAAAAAGAGAACCAGCGTCGTAGGACCGGAAAGCCCGAGTTTTCCCTGAAGTCAGCCGGCTAAGCGAAAATCCGGCTTCGTAGTACAGGCCTCTGGTATCATAATAATACAAAATAGCCTTTATTTGAACTTGTAATGTATATAATTGTAATAATAATAAAATAAAGATTTGTCTAGCACTTGTATAAGGTGGGAGCACAACATTCAAGCGCATTCATAGGAGGCATAAAATAAAATATATACATTCAAAAAGAAAACATCAAACACTGCAAAATACAAGCTGACAGTTAAAAGACAAACATAAAATAGTCTGTAAAATATGATTTAAATGCAGTGCCAGTGGCTTGAATACTAATTGTGAGACTTGAATAATTATTTATATTATATAAATAATCAAAGGTGGAAGAAGTACTCAGATTATTTACTTAATTAAAAGTAGCAATACTACAGTGTACAAATACTCAGTGTCACGGAGGTGATCTCTGGGCCCATAGATCTCGGCCTCCGTTACGGGTTGTATAGCTTAATTGTTGTTGATTGTGTTCACCTGAGGCCTGTACTACGAAGCTGGTTCAACCTAACCTGGATATGTATGAGTTAGCCGGTTGGCCCAATCCAAAACATACGCGCTCTCGCTAAACTGTACTAGCTGGTTATCAAGTGGATCGCTCAAGCCAGCCGTGTCCTATCTAGTTAGGTGCGCGTTCACATGAAAGGGGTGGTATTTGGAGCATTCGACCAATCACAAACATGGACAAGCGTACTGACAGCGCAGCGTCATACTTCCTGAATGAAAAGTGAACTTTAATATTAGCCAAATATGAAGAAGTTAAACTTTAAACATCCATGACTTAAACACTTTATCCAGGATAAAAGCCACATAGCTGCAGCTGCAAGGTGAATACAGCTGGTAAAAGAAAAAGCGTTTGAATGCGTACATTAACAGGTTTATGATATCACTGCCCCGTCCAAGACACGAGTGGATCTGACTTTAATTACATTTGACTCGAGTGTTTCGTCAACTTAATGTGTTGCTTAAAATGATACTTCTGCATACAGTATGTGACACTGTGAGTGTTGCACGGCCAGATACGGCTCAAGAAGCTGACTCAGATAAGGAAATATATGATACATTATGATGTGATATGATGTGATATGAATGATAATGGGACACATCGACGTCTGCACTCACAGTGCCGCGGACTGTAGGCTACGTAATGTTACTTTGATCCGGTTACTTATGTTGTGGCAGATATTTAATTAAGCTTTCTTAACATAATAGTATAATAATAGTATAATAGTTATAGGATAATAGTCAGATTGTTCAGAAGATGGGATGTGATATTCTATTCATTTTCACGTTCACACAGTCGGTGATTTTGGCCGGCCGTCTTTCCTGCAACGGCAGTTTAAACTGTATTTCCTCCGCACACTGAGCTCTGATTGGTCAGCAGGCGGTGCTTTCACTGAGTTGATCTCTTATCCTGGAACCTATCCTGCTTCGGAGCAGACTAGGTTCCAGGATAAGTTACCGTGGAGATCTAGTCCGCTAAAAAGTGAACCAGCTTCGTAGGACCGGAAACCCCTGAAGTTAGCTTGCTAAACGAAAATCTTGCTTCGTAGTATAGGCCCCAGGCCTCCGGTGCCCTGTGTTGTCTCCTCCCCCCTCACCTGTGTCTTGTTGGTTGATTAGTCTGTGGGTATTTAGGGTCTGTGTTTCCTGTTTGTGTGTGAGATCCTTGTTGCTGGTGACTGTGTTCACATGAGACAGTAAGATTGAGGCTGTGTCATGTACCACAAGGAGTAATAAATGCCCACACCGGGTTATATTTGAACTCTCTGGCCGTTTCTCAATCGCGAGGATATTGGCTTCCAAGCCAATATTTCAAGGATGCTACGTCATCGAGTGCCGCCGAAGGACTGTTCCAATCTCCAGCATACTTGGAATTCCACCGAGGCCGCGTCCTTGGTTTGGGGGAAATTTCGAGGCTGCACATGGGTAGACTTCGCGTCCTTAAAATCCCCACAATGCTTTGCGCATGGACCAATTTCCCCAAATCTGTGGCGGAAGATGTAAGGCGGAGCCTCTCATATGACGCACACCTGCACACTTGCTAGCCTGTTCCACTCTTTGTTTTCCGAATGCCAGGAAGTATTCTTGCCTTGCTTCTGAAGCAAGATGCTCGGCTCGGCTGTGCTACCAAGCCAGCATCCTCACGATTGAGAAACGGCCTCTGCCTCTGTCTCCTTGCTTGGTCGGGCCGCTCAACGGTCAGTCTCACAATTGGTGTCAGAAGTGGGATTTACCAAGTGAGGAGGTGAAAACGATGGAGGAACTGAGGGAGATGATGAGATCACTCATGCAGTCTCAGACAGCCAGAGAGCAGCAGTTCGCACGGATACAGGAACAGGAATCCGTAATAAAAGAGGAACGGAGACTCCGGAGGCAAGACGGAAGATTGGCTAAAGGGCACTAACTCTGCCGCTGAGGCATCAAAGATCCTGGCGGAGAACCGGAGATTGATGCAAGAGCAGAAAGAGGAGCAGCTCCGGTTACAGAGGGAGGAAGAGGAGAAGGTGAGAAAGGAAGAGGAGATGCGCTTAGCGGAGGAGGCTTGTCTGATACGCCTGGAGAAGGAGAAGAACCTTGCAGAGGAGAAGAAAATCAAAGACGAGGAAGATGCTTTTCTAGCTGAGGAGGAGCGGGTGAAAATGGCCGAGAAGATCCGTCAGGAGAGAGAGCGCGTCATGCAGCAGAACCAGCAGGAGCGCCGGAAGACGGAGAATCAGATGCCGAATCAGATGCCGAAGAGGAAGAAAGGGAAGCTTCCTTCTGACTTCACGCCCCCCCCTGAGGAAACCATGCTGCACAAGGGGAAGCAGAAACCTTGCAGGGAAGCCAAGATTTTGAAGACACTGTGCTTCCGGGGGAGAGGGGTAAGGAAATGTCACGGAGGTGATCTCTGGGCCCATAGATCTCGGCCTCCGTTACGGGTTGTATAGCTTCATTGTTGTTGATTGTGTTCACCTGGTGCCCTGTGTTGTCTCCTCCCCCCTCACCTGTCTTGTTGGTTGATTAGTCTGTGGGTATTTAGGGTCTGTGTTTCCTGTTTGTGTGTGTGAGATCCTTGTTGCTGGTGACTGTGTTCACATGAGACAGTAAGATTGAGGCTGTGTCATGTACCACAAGGAGTAAAAATGCCCACACCGGGTTATATTTGAACTCTCTGGCCGTTTCTCAATCGCGAGGATATTGGCTTCCAAGCCAATATTTCAAGGATGCTACGTCATCGAGTGCCGCCGAAGGACTGTTCCAATCTCCAGCATACTTGGAATTCCACCGAGGCCGCGTCCTTGGTTTGGGGGAAATTTCGAGGCTGCACATGCCTCCTTGCTTGGTCGGGCCGCTCAACGGTCAGTCTCACACTCAGTTACAAGTGTTTAAGTCAAAATAAGAAAGTATTAGCATCAAAAGTACTCGTTATGAATAAAGGCACAATTAAACAACAGATATTTTTTAATGATTTTATTCAAATTAATGGTGCATTAAATTGTTCATTTGATTTGATTTGATCAGATTTATTTCGAATGTGTAAAACAATAATACAAAAATGTAACATGAGAATTATTATACAATACGCAGTGTAAAATTGGTTCATCACTTCAATGTTGTACTTGGTGAAGGTAGGATTTACTTGAATAACTTTATACAATACTGGGTAGCTTAGCCTATAATAATATAAGATATATGTCCATTTCTATTTTGTATTAACCTAAATCTGCAAAGTAACTAGTATGTAAAATAAATGAAGTGGAGTAAAAAGTACAACATTTGCCAACAAAATGTAGTGGAGTAAAAGTATAAAGTAGTATCATTTGAAAATATTCAAGTAAAGTACAAGTACCTAAATGTTTTACTTAAGGACAGTACTTGAGTAAATGTTACCTAGTTACCACACACCATAGTAAATAATATTAGACAATGGCTGCCACGCCCCCCCTGCAGGGCTGTGAAGGCTGCATCCATCTTCTGGGTCCCCCTCCTCTGCTGTCAGATAACAACACTGTCTTATTCGCTCTATTCAAGGTAAAAGGGCTGATTTTCGTTCGTCGAAATGGCGTCTAACGGTAAGGAGACGTATATTCCGTGCTAAAACAACAGTTTAGATGTTTTAACAGTGAAGGTTAACAAGCTAGTGCGTTACCGGTTACCGGCTAGTGATAACACATTAGTTATCTGTTGTTATCAGCTAGCTGCTAATCAGTTAACATAAACGGTAGTGCTTAAAGTTGGTTTTATTTCTTAAATTACTCGGTTATGATATTAAAGGACCCCACAGCATCTCTCCCCCTTCTGAGGGGAACATACTGTGTAGCTGTCACTGTAATGTATTCTTCTAACGGTACCGTAAAGCTAACTAAGCTACCGGTTTATTCCATTAGCATTTATCTTAACGGCTACTATGCTATCGGCTGTGGTTAACCAACGTTACTGGTCCACTGACCCAGATTCTGACAGTGGCACTCATGGAAAAACACCAATACAGCGATGTAAAAATACTCCATTACAAGGAAAATTCTCCACGAAAATGCCCTCTTAAGTACAAGCCCATAAGTATTAGAAGAACATCTATTTTAAGAATGAAAGTCATATTACTGGTTTGGTGCCTTGGAACAACATTTTTGTGACTTTAATCTTTGATGCATGATATTTAGTGAGATATGAATCACTGTTGACTGGAAAACATGGTAGTTGTGTTGAGTGAAACATATATACATTTTATATACATGTGACTTCCATTGGCTATATATTGCATATATATAGATGATATTCATTATATCAGACAATTTTGATTTATTTTCTTCAAAAAAACTTCACAACTGATTTTTCAATTATCTAAATAGTTGGCCATTATTTCACAGCTCACAATTAAATGATTCATCTTTGCAGCTTTACCAACATTAAAGATATCCAGTGTGGAAATGAAGTTGTTTTAGCAGCACAAAAAATAAATAAATGAAGGTAATTCATATAGAAAGTAACATAATAAACAGCCCTGTGTTCAGTTGTGAGCTGCTAGCTGATCCAGGTGGCTTTTAAATACTTTATTTAGCTTAACAAGTAGGATCATTTATCAACACAGTTCCGTTTATTGTTTATCTGTTAATACAAATATATTTTTTAAAATTGTAACACTCAATTTTGTTTATTCCCATAGAATATTCCCAATCATCTGGCCAGGGGTAAGTATTGTCTTAAATAAAAGTTTCTCGTCCTATGGGCCGGGACAAGACTTGCTTGTTGAGATTTATTTAGTTTTCAAAATAAAACACCACATATTTTATTGATTATTTCTAGTATATGATATCATTTTTCTAATACATTTACATTTGTATTTAGGGAAAAATGTGAAACTATAAAATTAATAAATACAATCTGATTATTCTTGGAATAAAACTGCTCTAACTCTTTTATTACATTGTGTTCATGTTTGGTGTCTGAATGTGGTTGACTCTTTTACCTCTGGCAGCTATGGGTCCTATGGAGGTGGTGGTGGAGGCGGAGGAGGTGGTGGTGCTATGGGCCAGGGCTATGGTCAGTCTTCTGGGCAGGGCTACAGCCAGCAGGGCTATGGAGGCTACAAACAGGGCTCTGACAGCAGCCCCGGCTCCTACAGCCAGGGCGGATACGGCAGCTACGGTCAATCCCAGTCAGGTGGAGGAAGACTGTCCAAAGCCCCACAGTTATCCACTCACTCTTTGTAGACAAGGAACTTTATCTACATGTCATGTCTCCTCTCTTCTCCCTATAGGATATGGTTCTCCCCCCTCTAACCAGGGAGGTGGAGGTGGAGGTGAAGGTGAAGGTGAAGGTGAAGGTGAAGGCGGTGGCTATAATCAATCCTATAGCCCTGGAGGCTACAACAATAACAACAACAACCAGCCGTCCAACATGAGCTACAACCAGCAGTCATCCTTCTCTGGGTACAGCCAGCAGCAGCCTCCTCCTTCATCCTCTGCAGGGTAAGACTAGTACAGCAATAGTGTATTGCCTATTAACTGGATACTGTGCTCACTCATTTACAGTGTGTGACAGTTGTATTTCTCTATTTGTATTGTTTGTTGTTGTAACAATATGCTGTCAATGCTTGTTTTATGTTCCCTTCTTTGCCAGGTCACTCTTGAAAAATAAATGTTAAGTCTTCTTAAATCTAGATATTTTTGCATCATCTGTTGAGGAGTCCTGATTTTAACTTTAAGTTGTCAGCGTTTTTTTTAATTATTAAATTGTGTCCTTGAACCCATAGCTGCTTAGGAAAGAACTTGTCTTGTACCTAAGTTGATATTAATGAATGCAGGTGAATTGGAGCTGTAGTAGTAGTAGGCAGTGGCTATAAAAGAATATGTTAAGTTAAAACATTTCAATATAGAGTTGTAAGCTTTAACAAAGGTGTAAACTCCTGGTTTAGGTTTGGCTTCCGGCAAGCTTTAGTGCCACACATGCATTGTCTTGTTGTTGTTGTTTTTTAAAGCTTCTCTCCCTTTCTTCCTTCAACAGCTATGAAGGTAACTCGCAGTCCTCTGGATACAACCAGCCCCCGAGCGGTGGACAGGGTGGAGGTGGTTACGGCAGCAGTGGAGGTCAGTCTGGGGGCTATGGGGGCAGCGGGAGCCACCAGCAGCCATCCCAACACGGAGGAGGTCACTTCAACCAGCCTCCAGGCTACAACTCGCCCCCTCCACAGAGCTACAGCCAGCAAAGCCAGTATGGGCAAGGTGGATGAGAGATGCTTTATATTGGCCTTTCTGTTTTGAAGAGTATTCCTTTTTTTATTTTTATAACAAAAATAGATGTCAATCCCAGTTTCTCAAAGTCCAAGGTGATGACTTCAAATGTCTTGTTTTGTCAATCCTAAACCTAAGATCTTTACAATAATATTACTATAATTTACACGAAAAATTACTTTAGCTATTAATGTTTGAATAAGGATTAATCAATTTCAAAATGCTACAACATAGTTTTTTGTGGTACTTCTGTAATCAGGTATTGGCATCACTATACATCTGTAGATTTCTAAGTGTCTCAACTCCTTCTTAGGATATGGAGATGAAAGCCCACCGTTGAGTGGAGGAGGAGGAGGAGGAGGAGGAGGAGGAGGAGGAGGAGGTGGGGGATACGGCGGTTCCGATAGAGGTTACGGGGATCAGGATGGCCGCGGCAGCAGGGGACGCCGAGGTGGATTTGGAGGTCGTGGCGGTGGCGGATTTGATAGTGGTTTTGACCGAGGGGGTCAAGGTGGACCGAGAGGAAGAGGCATGGGGTGAGTGTTACAAAAACATCCAGTGTCCATGTTATCAATCCTGTCTTATAAAAACGAAAATCTAAGTACAGGGATTCATAAAAAAGTTTCCTCCACTGCAGTTTCAGTACAACTGTGTCGAGGAAATAAAAAAAAAGAAGACAGTGTACTGTTCCACATCTGTAGCTTCATGCTTAAGCTATTGAGAGGCACTCCTTCTTGCCACAATGCTATTACTATGTTATCAGTCTGTTGTGACGACTGCACACATTTGTTTTGCTTGAGAGCAGTTTGCCATACATGCATCTTTCCTAGGTGAATACAAAACAAATAAAGGTTTCTGTGTTCTCCGCAGCACCTCAGAGAACAGATTTATTTTATTTCTTGTGCTGCCACTGAAATCTATTGATCCATTACCAAAAAGAAATAGAGTGCAAGAATCTCTCATATCGACTCCAATACTTCTTATTATATCAAGCTGCAACAGTACTATGACCGAGGGGGAAGCCATGTGTCATGATTTATAAGGTGAATTCATCAATAGGCTACCTCTGAATACATTTCAGACTTCATTTCAATGGTGATTTGTTAAACATCAGACATTTCTTGCTTAACTTGATCACATGCATGTTATAACACAAGAAGATGTAATCAAAAAGATGTTAATAGTGTGAAGTCTCTGCATGCATGTCCTAAATAGAGTGTACATGTTCTCTTAACGTAATCCGAAGAGGGCCGTTTTTTGTTGTCCCACTTATAAAGATTCTTAAAACTTAGTTTGGTGGTATTTTTTACAAACACTACCATTGCCTCGATTCTGTGGCCAGCAGTTGAAAACAATTTGACAATATAATAAGTTATAACCTATACAGTGGATGAACAACTTTTGTAATTGATGTTCATGCAATGAAACGAGGGGTTACGTATGGTAACCCTTGTTATATAAGCACAGGCGGAGCCCTCTACTGGACTCTATGGGTAGTGCTACTTTATCATGCAAGCATTCACCTACTGAGACTTCTATAGACGTAGCCGGCCCCGGGGCGGGCCTACCTGAATGCACGCGCATCTCACCGTATAAAAGGAGGCCTCGCCTCCTGACTGTCATCCTACACCTCTCTTCAGCGAGCGGTATAGGACAGACAGTGCCCCGAGTAGAGGGCTCCGCCTGTGCTTATATAACAAGGGTTACCATACGTAACCCCTCGTTATATCTCTCACAGGAGCCCCGATGTATACACGCGCTGTCGTCCAACAACACCGTTCCACCCCACTGCCCCTGACCGGCTTTCTGGTTAGCAGCCGCTGCACCTCACTCTCCTCTACCTCGGTTGTAACCGTGGAGAAGTCTGGGCTGCTGCTGACAGAACACACTCTGACGCGCTTACCTCGCGAAAAGTGTGCTCGGAAAACAGTGCTGAGGGCTCCCCCCGTCCGCCCATAGGCAGACGGAGAGAGTCCCCAGCCCCGTATGGGCTCACTATGCACCACCTCTTCCGAGTCCCTAAGGAGCACGGGGAGAGCGCAAGTGCCCCATGTCCCCCACACTGACCCCGTGCAGAGTGTGAGTGGACTATAGTGTGGAGGGCTCTCCCCTCCTGCCCCTAGGCAGGCGAGGAGAGCCCTCCAGCCCCGTAAGGGCCCAGTGCGCACCATGTCCCCCGGGACGTAAGCGCATTACGCCCGGGGAGGGGGTCAGATGCCCACTGACCCACAGCCCCCCCCCCTCCTCACCAGTCCTGTGTTGCCCCAGCAAGCACAGACGAGGAGAAAGAGCCAGACATGTCCAAGAGATAAAACTTTATGAAGGGGCCTGGCGTTGACCAAGACGCCGCCGTGCATATGTCTTCCACACTCACACCGTTGAATAAGGCTGTTGACACAGCCACAGCCCGTGTAGAGTGTGCACGGACCCCCGCGGGGCAGGCTCTCCCCGCCTGTCCGTGCAATGCACTCGCAGAGCCAGCCTGCCAGGCATTTCTTGGACAGAGCTTTCCCAGTCACCCCGCCCCCGAAGCACACAAACAGCTGTTTGGTGCGTCTAAGGGCAGCCGTGAGCTCCACATAACATGCTAGCGCACGCACCGGGCAGAGGAGGTGCAGTTTAGCTTCCCTGGCCCCACTATGGGGTGGAAGACTAAAGCACCCTAACTGAATAGCCCTCGACCTGAACGCACTCCTTAGGCTCTTGGGCACAAAGGAGGGGTTCGGTCTGAGTGTCGCCCCGCTCTGGTCACCCCGGATCAACAAGCAACTCGGGTGCACCGACAGAGCGGTTAACTCGGACACTCTCTTGGCTGACGTTAAGGCAAGTAGCAATGCTGTCTTCCACGACAGTGCTTTCAGGGAGGAGAGCTCCAGAGGCTCAAATGGTTCTGTGACCAGAGCCTCGAGCACCAACGGCAGGTCCCACTGCAGGGCGGAGGCGTGCACTACTGGGCGCAGCCTCCTGACCCCCTGTAAAAACCGCGACATCAGTGGCTGACAAAAGGCTGACCTGCCGTCAAATCCCTCATGGCAGGACGAGATGGCTGCCGCATACACTTTCACTGTGGAATGAGCAAGCCCTCTGTCCACCAGTAACTGTAAGTAGGATAAAATAGAGCCCAACTCACAAGATAGGGGCTCTATTCTCCGCTCCTCACACCATCGCTGGAATCCCAGCCACTTTGGCCTGTAACAGGCTGTGGTGGATCCCGCTCTAGCTGCCTGGATAGACTGAATAACACTGTCAGACAATCCAACCTGTCTCAGCCTGTCCCTCTCAGGAGCCAAGCCTGGAGAGGTTGGCCCAGAGTGGGCAACGCCCCGATTGCACCTGCCTCTTGAGACATCGCCCCCCAGAACTGGGGAATCGCCCAGGGCTGGCCCACCTTCATCTGTGTCATCTCTGAGTACCACGGCGCCCCGACGCGATCCGGAGCCACTAGGATGACTGACAGACGTTCTCGCCTCACTCTTCCCAGGAGAGGGAGAATGAGACGCAGCGGTGGAAAGGCGTAGAGCAGCTTTCTTGGCCATGGCTCGTGTGCAAACGCGTCCGCCCCCAAGGGCGGGTCGTTGCTCAGAGCCATGGAGAACCACAGGGCACAGTGGCTGTTGCGCCGGCTGGCGAACAGGTCCACCTCTGCTCTCCCGAACTGGGCCCAGACCTGCTTCACTACCTCCGGGTGAAGCACCCACTCGCCTGGCAGGGCCGCCCCTCGACATGAGGTCGGCCCCCCTGTTCTCTAGTCCCGGGATGTGGAGGGCTCTCAGAGATAACACCACCTCTGAAGCCCATAACCACCGTTTCTCCGCTGTGGTCAACAAGGCAGACTCCGCCCTGCCTGTTGATGTATGCCACTGTGGTGCTGTTGTCGCTCCTGACCAGTACATGTCTCCCCTAAATTAGGGGCTTGAAATGCTGGAGGACCAACACTACTGCCCGTAGCTCTAGGAGGTTGCTGTGCCGTGTTTCTGTTAGAGACCAGCGCCCACCTATAGCCCTCTTCAGGCAGGTCCCTCCCCATCCTGTTCTGGATGTGTCCGTGAACACTGTGATGTAGGAGGTCACCCGTCCCAGTGGAGACCCCCCTCCGGAGGTGATCCGAGGACCCCCAGATCCGATGAGCCCGTCCGTGGACACGGGGGCTCCAAGGAGATCCTCTCGGTCTTTCTTGGATAGGGCGGTGAGTCCTAGCCACACGTGACGCGACGCCACTGTGGCCAAGGACATCACCCGCCCCGCTGCGGCGGCCACTCCATGGATCAGATTATTCATCTGACCGATGCAGCGGTCCGGATAATCGCTCCCGTCCTGAGGCGGGAGGGCGGGGGCGTCTGCCTGAGGGGAAATCAGGGAGACACCCAGCACGCCGAGATTATTGGCCGCAGCTGCCATCTGCCATCTGCGATTGGGGTCTTCGTCCTCAATGGCTGCCGCCACGTCGCCTCCACACACTGCCAGATATCTGGCAACGGGGGCGAGACGAAGGCCGGCTGCGCCGGCTGTGCCGGGCCGGGCCGGGCCGGGCCGTAAAACCCCTGCCGAAGGCGGCTTACAGGCCTCGGTGGCAGCGGTTGGGGGAGCGGTAAGCCTACATGCTCCGCCGCCAGGGTCATCACCGCCGGGAAGTCCAGACGCGCAGACCTGTGTGCTGGACCCTCCTGGCCGCCGGACCCGAAGGTACCAGACAACGAGGCGTCCTCGTCTTCCTCCTCCGCGAACGCGGCCACCCGGCCCCTCGGGAGGGTGAACCCGAATGGCACCTCGTCATCCAGTTCATCCATCTCCACCACCTCGAGGTCCTGATCCTCCACCTCCACCTGCGGGCCGAACTTCACCCAGAAATGATCGCCACGATGTCGGCGGCTCAGCCGAGGGATCATCCGGCAGGCGTTACAGGCCGGCGACTGGCCTAGGCCGTCTTCGGCGAGGTCCGGCCCCAGGCACTGGAAGCACAGGCGGTGCGGATCAGCCCCCGCGATCAGGCCAGGGCATGTCGGGCAGGTGCGGTGCTCAAGGAGTGGTGAGTCCATGCTTTTCTTTCTCTTTCTCTTATTCGCGTCTATGCTCAGTGTATCACTTCCGCTCGCTGAAGAGAAAGGGATAACAGTCAGGAGGCGAGGCCTCCTTTTTATACGGTGAGATGCGCGCGCATTCAGGTAGGCCCGCCCCGGGGCCGGCTACGTCTATAGAAGTCTCAGTAGGTGAATGCTTGCATGATAAGGTAGTACCCATAGAGTCCAGTAGAGGGCGGAGCCTGTGAGAGATATAACATAAATTACATAACACAGGTGGAGAATCTTTTTTTCAATGATAATCTTCTGATTTAATAGGCTCTTCTTCGAACGGTTTCGTATAACTAAAGGTAGACTCATTGAATGTTATAAAAAATGATGGCTTTGGGCAAAAGTATAACAAAGAAAAATATAAAGAAAATTACATATCAAAGATTTGACAACATTTGTAAAGCTATAAGGCAGAAACTTGTGAAGGTGATATTTTTGTTAAAGAGGTTGCACAATATTTTGTGTTT